CCTTCTTCTTTTTTAAATTTAAATTATATTTTTCAATGTTAAATTAAATTATTAATAAATTAATATAGCTATTGATTATTGAAAAGTTTGATTTCGTATTTAATCTATACTAGATTATAATCAAATTGGATTAACTAGAATTTATAAATTAATTTTAATAAAATTAGTAATATTAATTTAAATTGGCATCATATTAAAAGAGTCCCAATTTGTCTTGAAGTTAATGAAATACACTAAATTTTCATAATAAATATACCACAAAATTATTTCATAGCTGCATTTCTTACCTTTATGGGTTTTAATCATGTTTTTGAATGAATTTTTATTTAATTAATATTAAATTAGGCCCTTGTGGCACCGGCGGATCTCCCTCTTTCCCTTCAATTAGAAGCAGTAAGAGTTTTTCAGAAACCGACCAAAAACCCTAGAATTTAAATTCGCTAAGTCTGTAGCTTGAAAGAAGTAAGACTTAAGAAATCTCCGTCTGGAGTTCGTCAGCGCCGAACATGAGCCCTACAGGTGGATCAGAGTTTCCTTCTCCTCTTCCTCACAGCAGTTTCTACAGAGATTGTATGCGTAGCGGCTCGTCTGCCTGCAATGTTCACCAATCAGACAGTGTCAGGTTAAATTTTAACATCCCAATTCATAGCTAACCCATTAAAGTGTTTAAAAAAGACTCGTATAAGTCATGCAATTCCAACAATTTTCAATTTTGAAACTCAAAATTAATAAAATTTTTCAATTAATTTTAACAATTTTTTCAATTTAAAAATAATATTAATCAGTACTAAAATTACTGAGTACAAGTAATATACCAATAAAATCTTGAGTCCTCACAAATATTTGCTATTCATACACAAATATCATATGTAGACCAACTTAAATCGTCATACTATTCAAAAGCTTAGAAAATTTTTATTCGACTTGCAAATGCATGTAAAAGGATTTATGTTGTTTATAAAATTAACGACGTGATTTCTATACAATATTTTTGACCTATAAAATAAAAAATAAATCATTGTTAATAAATTTTTCGCTGTAGGTGACAAACGAATATAAGTAAATAAAAAATTGTGTTAAAAAAAATGATCAATCTTTTCTTGCTTACCTTATTATTCTGGTCAAAATCAAATAAATTTACTTTCAATATTGTTTGTATTCCAAATTCAAAAGATAAGTGAAGAACTAGAAATTTCTTAAACCCAAAAATAAAAAACCTGAACACGTGTTTATATGTAAAATAAAATTTATTTTAAAGTCTTCAATTTCATAAAAGAAATCTCCTTAAAATAACAAAACTATATACATACATACATACAAGAATTTTTTAAACAAAAATCCAATTAATAGGAAAATGGTAAAATGTACGAGAAAAGAAAAGAAAAGTGGAACAAAAGATCACCGAAAAGGATCAGTAAATCTTGTAAATATAAAAAAAAAAATTTTTTCAAAAGGATTCTTATTGTTTACTTATAATATTTCTGAAAAATTTTATGGAGGGGATGACTTCATTCACTTGTATATAAGCAGGTATTAAACAAGTTGTAGGTATCAGTCTTTATTCGATTATCCTTGTGTAAGGAACAAAAATTTAATTTGAAATTTTTTCAAAAATCTTAAATAAATAAAAAAATGTGCTCAAGAATGCAAAAAGTTATTGAATCATCAAATATTGGTGTTTTACCAATTAATAAAAATAAAAAAACAACAACTTTGGAAAAATTTTTGAAAATATTTTTCAAAAAAACTTCATTAAAATTAAAAGAAAAATTATCAAAACAATATTCATTGGAATCACTTGAATCATTGGAAAATATTAAAAATGCACAATATGAAATTGAAAATTTCCAATCAGATGAAATTGATCAAAATGAATTAAATGAAAGAAGATCAGTAACAATAGCATCAACAACATCAACAACAGCGACAACCTCAATTACCAGCTTAAATGATTTAGATTATTATACAAATTCAGAATATCCAACAGTTCCAGTACATTTTGCTAAAACAGAACATGGAACATATTTTTGGACAACATCAAATAATAATAATTATTCAATGAATAGGATGAATGATCGTTGGGCACAAGCATAAATATTTTTAATTAATTGTATACAAAATTCATTGCATATTGAGTGACCTGACAATTTGTGATATCCGTAATCCATAAGAAGAACGTGATGTTGTAAAGCTTTAATTTTATTTTGCTACTGATTAGAAAGTAATTTTGCATTTTTGTAATTTTTTTCAATTATAAGAAAATAATTATTAAAGTCTTCCATTAATTTTAAGTTTAATATTTTAATTTTTTTTTGGAATTTTGAATAATTTTTTTAGATTTCAAATGGAAAATAGCTTTCTTTTAAAATTTTAAGTAATAATTAATAATTGTGATATTTTTTTTTTGCTATACATACGAAGTTTTTTTTACATAGCCCTTTTTGTATATTGTAGATTAAATGCTATAATCAAAAATTTGGAATTGTATAAAATTTTTTTTGTCAAATTAATTTTGTATAATAAATTGTAACTTTGTAATTTTAAGTTTTTTAAGACAATAAAAATTGAAAAATAAAAAAAAATTACGTTTTTGACATTTTTGTAAAAGAATTTTTAAAACACCATTTAGAAAAATAATTTCTATTTTCCAGGGTTGTTATCTATTCTGTAATGGCTATTAAATCCTATCATGAATTTTAATTTGAATTTCTTGGCTTGAATTTTAATTTGAATTTCTTGTGAACTTAGTTGTACACCTAGCCAAATCATAAAATACAACAAATTTAAAATATCCAAACTAATTTTTCGATAATTTCAAAATCAAATTATTGTTATACACCTTTATTCTGATGGGTTGTTATTCAAAAATTTTGAATTTTCCAGAATGTAATCATTATAAAAATTTGAAATTTAATAATATCCTATCAGCTCAAGTGATGCCACTAACTAAATATCCCCCATAGTTTGTACATAAAAATAACACTAAATTTTAAATAGCTGATTTTAATACCAATTAAATAAGGTTAAGTTTAAAAATTAGTTTTAATATTAGAATTTATTTATTTGCTATAGAAAAATGTTTGAGAAGTATAGAAAATTTTATGTATAATATTTACTGAAATAATTGTTTGGTAGAATGGCATTTAAAGTAAATTTAAAAACATTTGCTTTTATAGTCAAATTTGAATATTTAAAAGGTACTCCGTAACGTAATGAAATTTCATTAATGAAAAGCACTTAGAAGTGAATAGTCTGAATATTATCCAAGTATAAATTATAATCCTTTTCATATATTTGAATACTTTATCGTAGAATATCGTATTTCATGTACTATATCTTTTATATAATCTAACAATCTTTCTAATATTCTATAGGATTTGATTTAAATCTTAATTACTTTGACAATAATTGATGTCATGCATATAAAGCAATTTTGAAAAAGGAACCGTCTTGTCTGTTATAGCCATTTTAAAATGTTATATTAACCCTTCTATATATTTTTTTAAATTCCTTAACGATAATGAAATTTCTTATCATTACCTTTTTTTCATTTTAAATCAGGAAACTATTAAATACCGAAAAAAAAAATTTATCTCTATAAAAATAACATTTAAGGTGGCGTTAAAACCGGTTCATAATTAATATATTTTTAAGTCTATTTAACTTTCCCCATATATCGTATACGTGATTTGATCAATCAAACGGAAAAAAAAAACCAAATCATTGTATATTTAACCCTTTAATTAGAAAATGTAAAGTAAAAAGAAAATTATCAAATTTTTTTTATTGTTCATATCTTAAGTTTTTATTAAAGAATGTTCTCGACTGTATTTAATAATTTTTACGATAAGGCGTAATAATTAATTTTCATTATTTAATAGATTGAGGTTATATTTTCGAAATTCGAATATGTAATTCAAAAATTTATTTCAGTGTAGTTAATGTCTGGTACTTACGCCTATAATTCGGGATGAGTCAAAATATGAATATCGATTTTTTGGTGTGTTAGTTTTTTGTGTTTCATGTTACATGGTTTATGGTGGTTCCATTTTAAATAATTAAAGTAAATGAGTATTACAATTATTTTTTCAATTGTAAAAATAAATAAGTGCTATACAACGTGTATGATAATTATTGAATGTGTATAACAGTTTCGGAGTGTGTATAACAGTTTGTATAACAGTTATTAAGTTTTTTCTTCTTATTTATTTATATCAGAACTTGGTCATCAAATGGCATTATATTTTTCCAATCAAATAATATCGATGGAAGTTGCAAATAACTTATTTTACCAAATGAAAAAAATTTCGGAATATATTACTTGCGAGAAAAGTATTTGAATTCTTTCATTACTCTAACATGAAAGACGGGAAAATATGATTTTTAATGTAATACGAATATCTGTTGTAAAAGGATTGAAATTTATCACCCAAAAAAAGTAAAAAAAATTAGAAAAAACCTCAATGTACCATTACCAATATTTTGGTAAAAGGTAAGCGGCAAGTTAAATCAATTGTAGCAGAAAAATAATTTCTAGTTGTGGTAACAAAAAACATTCTTTAACGCTTTACTTTTGTACATTATGAATGGGTAAAGTGTTTGTAGGCGAAATAAGAAAAAATAAAAAAAAATTAAAGTATTAATGATCTTCTTAAAGAATTTATAAAAAAAAGGAAAGAGTTAAAAATACCTTAATTCTGTTATACGTTTTTTTCCCTACTTATCATTGTTAATTTTAAGCGTCTTACACTGTACACAAAACCTGTTATAAAGTAATTTTATATCCTTTTTTTTTTATTATTTAGTTTTTTTTTCATTACAGGTTTTTAGAAATTTTTTTAAGGATCGAAAACAATAGGAGTTTTTTTTTCATAATTTTTACACTGATTTTGGATTCTAGTTCATTGGAAATTTTAATGTATGATTTGGGCATGTATGGATATATAGAAGTACAAATAATGAAAAGTGTAAAATTAAACACGTGCTATAAATAAAAAAAAATGGTTTTAAACAATAACAGAGAAAGGAACAAAACAAAAACTCAATGTGAAATTAGCGTTGGTGTAGTTGGGACTTGAAAATCTTATAAGAGTAAGTTTTTTTTTTGTTAATTTTTAGTATATTGTCATTTTTCTTTCAGGGTCCTTACAAACATAAAATATCAATGTTTTTTTTTTTGTCAAAAAAATCAATTCTAAAGAAACACTTTTTCACTTTTTAAATTTATCTGAAAAAAGGAAGAATTTCTTAAGGTATTTGCGTAGGTTGATTTTTTATCAAATTTCTTGGTTTTGGTATACGGTTCTAATAAATTATTCGCCTAATAGATAATTTTTAAAATTTCTAAGATTTTAATATTTGAATTGAAATCTATATTGTTCTTAATAATTTAATACCTTACACTATAAATTATTAATCGATTAATTTAAATAGAATTCTTTATTTCCAATATTTCTTCAAATTGTTCTGAAAATGCTATTAATATTTTGCCTGCAAATAATTAAAATACCTTACGATATTTCCATAAAATTAAACGAAAAATTTTCAGACTAAGTGTTATACTTTTGAATCATAAAGGTTCGGCAATACAAAGATAACACATGTTGGCTTAAGAAAATTTCCAATCACAAATATTATTTATGAATTATGGTAATAAGGTAACAAATCCTTATTGCTGCAAACAGATTTTGCTGTTGAATGAAATTATTATACCCGTACCTTAAAATATTATTATGCAGGTCAACCAATTATTGACATTCAGGTTATTTAAAATTTAAGTAATATGGTCACTTAAAATTGGAATTTTACTGAAATAAAAATTTTATGATTAAAATTAAATTACAAAAAATAATAAAAATTTTTAATTACCATTTGGTGTAAAAATAATTTAAGGTAAAATAAAAATATAAAATTTAAGTAATAAAATATATTAATGCCAAATTAATGTGCCATTTAAATGGAATTTTCCGCACTATAGTTACGAGATGTTGTTTGGTATGCATTCGCTTAAAATTTTCAATGAAACTTGCATTTCAAAAACGCCATAATAAAATAATTCAAATTTATTTTGAAAATTCTACCATTGATTCGCCTAACCAAATTACATACTAATAAAATAGTCCCACTTGACGCCTTGGTAGTTAAAATTTTTCGATTTATTATTCGTAACATCTTTGTAGTGGTTTAATAAGTAATGCGAAATGAGGCGTTTAGATTTATATTTTTGTTACGAATAGCTATTTTACTTTTTACAATTTCATCTTAAAACGGACTGGAGTCCCATTTAAATGCGTTTAAAGTAAAAAGACATCTTATTTATTGAAAGACAAATATTTACGCAAAAAATTTTGAAAATTATGATGAAGACACAATTCAAAATGACTTCTTAAAATTCTCATTATTGCACTATTGTTATATTTTAAATATAAAGGATATCCAAGTATAGACCAAACTAATAAAATCAATTTTCTATTATACAAAAAAATTGTATAACAAAAAAAAAAATTTTTTTTTTTTCAATTTTTTTTTTTATCTTCAAATTATTTTGTAATTCTCAAAAAAATTCTTATATTTACTAACAATAACCATCCTTTTTAAAAAATAGAAATTTTTTAATAGAATTTTTCTATTTTTAAATTAAATATTGTTATACAAGTAATTATTACAAGTCACTTTATTTATGTATGTCAATTTCCTCTCTTCCTCTCTCTCTCTGTTTCTCTCCCGCACATTCTTTCTCAAATTTATTTTTTCTTTAACAATTATTTTTCTTTGTATATTCAATAATATTTTGTGTAACTGAGTAGCTAGCATTGTGCACTAAAAAAAAAAAAAGCCAACCAACCTAAAAAAAAAATTATAATTGACAAATAAAAAAATTATGAAAACTAAATCGTGTCCAACACGATTTCTTCGAAAAATTTCAAAAATATATTAAAGGTATACAATAAAAAAAAATCATTGTAAAGTACAAAAAACAAGCACACATTCCTTCACATATACAAATTCTATGTCTCTTTAATATTATTACTCACAAGAACAACAAAAAATATAAAAAAAAAAAACAAGACTACTTTAATTGGGTAGTAATTTTTAATATAATTTAATAATCATCCTTTTCACATATCATTCATTTTCGTCCTCTTCATATCATTGTATGCATTGTAATAAATTAAGAAACAAGTAGATGTAAAAAATGAAGCAACAATAACCATTAATTTCAGGAGCAAATAACAATGTAACATAAAAATTGTTAGTGTTAAAAAATGAAAATGAAAATGAAATTTTTCTGTAAAAATTTTTAAATATCCTTAAATTTTCTATTTTTATTCTTTACAATTATAAATTAAAGTTAAATATAAATACATTAAGGATCAATATTGTTAAAAAGATCCTTTTTCCTTTATTTTAGCCTTAGCAATAATATTCAAAAAAAAATCAAGTTTTCTTCTCTCCTTTTTGTTTAATTTAACAATATTTTTCCTTTTTCTTTTAAAATATCCTTTTTATCATTTAATTTTGATGATTGAAATGATTTTTCACATTTCTCAAATGTATTAAAAATCCAAAAAACCCAAAAAAAAATTTTTTAGATTTCAAGAAAACAAAAAATATTAAAATCGATTAAGAAACAAGAAAAAAGTCTCCGATTACAAAATAAATCCTTAAAAAAAAAAAAATAACGAAATCTTTTCCTTTTTTTTTTTTTGTTAAATTTTAAAAATTGACCAATTTTTTGTGTTTTTTCCTTTTCTATTCTTTAACAAATAATTAATTGTAAAATGAAATTGAAAAATTAAAAAATATTTTTACTTCCCACGATATGATTTGTTTTGTTTTTTTTTCTTTTTTCGAATGGAAGGTCCTTTTCTTTGCAAAAAACAGAACACGTGTTCAAATTACGATATATACGAGGTTTGATCAATGCTCTGGTTCTTATATATACAATCAAAAGGCATTTTAATTTGATCATTTCATATATTTTTGAATTTTTATTCTTTCTTTATTTTTTAATACCCGCATTATTATTAAAGATCCTTTAAAAAATAAAATTTTAAATAGACCATTACAAAACACAAAACGAATATATGAAAACTCATTATTTTTTTTTTTTTTTACATATGACTTCTTTATGATATGCTCACTACTTTCAATATATAGTGGCATTTTATTATATACAGAATATTATAAAAATCCTTATTATCCTTATATTTATTGTGATAATAAAATGTAGAATATATACAAGAAAACAGTAACAAAAATTTCAAATAATGATCATGGTAAAATGAAAAAAAAAAATTTTACTCTTCTGTTATTTTGTTAAGAAATTTCATCTGATTTGATGAGATCTTTTTAAATTCTACTTCAAAATATCCTTGAAAAGAATAACAAAAAAAAAAAAAAATTATTGTATATTTATTATTAAGATTAAGGCCAAAATGGAAAAAAAAACTAAATTAAAATCAACCTTAACAAATCTGTAAAAAATTAGTAATAGAAATCATTTGTGTGGGAATGAGTCTTAAGTGTACGTTCCCACGATTTTTATATAATGATCCTTAAATTTTTTTTTTCTTTTTATTTATTTTCATTTTTATTTTTTAAAATAAAAATTTCACTGCATTTATAATAAATTTTTTTTTTTTTGATATCTAAGATTTTGATCTTAAATAAAAAATTTATTTTCCTTTCCTTATTCTATTTTTATTTATTTCTATAAGGATCAAAAGACTTAATTCTTAAATCATTTAGAATTTCGGTAACAAAAACGAAAAAAAATTAAATACAAAAATCCAATAATAATTTATCGGTATATAAAAAAAAAAGCTATTAATTCAAATATACAAACATCATTACAAATATTTAAAAAAAAAAAAACAGAAAAAATATTGGCTAACAAATATAATAATATAATTTGATCCTTTATTTTTTCTCCCGTACATATAATAAGGTAGTGTAAGGAGCAAAAATATTTAACAAGAAGAGAAAAACGATCATGTGGAAACAATCACCGAAACGAATTTATTTTTATATTTTTTTTTACTCCTTCATTTCACACAAGTGTTCAACGGTTTTGTTGTGTGTTTTAAAGGTTAAAATAAGGTTCCTATATTTTGATACGTTATAGGTATATACATATATATAATGAGGTAGTTAATTGGTTATTTACAAAAAAAAAAAAAAATGAGAATAACAGAAATTTTTTATTTATTTTTTTTTTTTTTTGTTATTATCCTTAAAGATTTATTTAATGTTAAAAATCTCTTTTTCATTATTATTGCTTTGGTTTTTTTTTTATTTTTGAATTTTTTAGATTTTTTGATTATAGGATCCCAAAAATAACAAAATAAGAAGAAAAATAAAATCCGTAAAATGATGACAGCAAACACCTGCCATTTTTTATGTATAGAAAATTTTTTTTCTTGTTGTTATTTTTCTTCTCTTAATTCTCTGCACTGTAAAGTCTTTTGCTCTTCTTCATTCTATTTTAATGAGAAAATTTAATTTGTTTGTTGTTGTTTTTGTTTCTCCGTTGGTCTTCTTGATCTGGACGAAAATTAACGATCGTTCTGAACGTGTTTAAAATGTCTAAAAAGATTTTATTATGTGATTTTTGTTTTTTTTTATTATTTTTGTTATTATTTTAGTAAAATAAATTGTGCCTTGTTCAAAAAAAAAATTTTTATTATAAAAATTCTTATTGTATCCGAGAGGCCCAAAAAAGAAATGAAGAGCAAAAAAAAAAAAGGTTCAAAATTCCTTTTTTTTTTATTTCCATACGAGTACGTGTTTTTTCGTATTCAAAGCCTTGTACATAAAACAGTTTATTGGAATAAGATCTTGTTAAAATTTATAACCTTATTTTTATATATATGTACTCGTATATTAAAATTATTTTAAATTTTGAGGGAGGGGATAAATTTTCGATTCACTTGTATATAAGCAGGTAGTATACAAGTATTCGGTATCATTCGTATTTCAATTATCCTTGTGTAAGGAACTAAAAGCAGAATTTTATTTAATAAATTTGTAAAAAAAAATGTGCTCAAGAATGCATAAAGTTATTGGATCTTCAACTCAAATTGGTATTTTACCAATGAAAAACAATACCAATAATAACAGCAAAGAGAAAAAAATAACATTAAAGAAAATTTTAATAAAAATTTTCAAAAAAACTTCATTAAAATTAAAAACTAAATTAAAAAATTCAATTGAATCAGCAATTGAATCATTAGATAATTATAAAAATACAAAATATGAAATTAATAATTATATTCAATCATCAAATGAAATTGATCAGAATGAAGCAAATGAAAAATTATTGGCATTAAATAGAAGATCATCAATATCATCAACATCATTAACAACATCAACATATGAAAATTTAAGTGAATTGGATTATTATACAAATTCTGATTATATAACAACAATACCAGTACATTTTGCAAAAACTGAATATGGAACATATTTTTGGACATCAACACCACCACAATCACCAACAACAGCAACAATGGTACCCAATTATAATCAACAATATTATACAGATTTTATTGTAAATCAACCATTATGGTATTCAACATCAAATCAATTAATAACAACAAATATGTTAGGAGATCGTTGGGCACAAGCATGAATCTTATAGAAGATATCAACTTGTGACATTTGACAATATTGTGATATCAAACGTAATGACGTGATATTATAATGGCTTTAATTTTCAATATGGAAAATGAAACACAATAGCATTGATGCTGATTGATTTGATTCCTTGGTTGATTGATGATGATTGCTTGCACTGACTGGTGTCAAACAAAATAATAATGACAATAGAAACATGATCACATCGTTTCTCTTCGAAGTGAAACGTTATTATGATTGATCAGAAAATTTTGTTTTTAAAAAAGAAAAAATTCTTCATTTTTTTAAATTTTAAAAGAAATTTGTAAGAAAAAAAAAATTAAATAAAAGTCTTCCATTAATTTTTAAAAGTTTAGCTTTAAAAATTTTAAAAAATATTTGTGATATTTTTTAATAAATTTAAAATAAAAATTTATTTTTAAGATATTTGTAAAAAAATTCATAAAATTTAACAAAATAAATTGAAAAAAAAAAGAAAAATTGAAATTGTTTTCCTTTAATAATTTTCCAGATTCTAAATTTTTTCTTCATATTCCTTGCAGGTAACCTTTGAGATTTCAAATATTTTTGACAATTATCCAAGTATTTTTGACAATTATTATTTGCAGCTAATTGTCAAAATAATAACAATTGACAAATAACAACTAACTAGACAGCGTTTACAAATCAAGCCATTCGTTGTGACAGTGTTGTCTTGCCATCTATGAAGTTTCATTTCTACTCAATCGCTATTCTACTATTAGAATTTGTAGGAATTTTTGAAATGAGGTTCTTCAAATATTTTTTGACATAACAATTCTTTTTTTCTGAAAAAGTATTTTTTCATAAATAGTTGACTGAATAGAAAACTTAATATTAACCAGTCTGTCTAAAAATCATGTTGAAACTTTTTAATTTGTACCGAAGCGGGAGCTTGCGAGTATGATTTTGCTCGAGACAAGCATATGAAATTGTAAGAAATGACTAAGTGAATGGGTTTTTTTCTTTTCTTTTCAGAAGAAATTTTTAGTAATTTGTACTTAAAAGATTTAGATCGAACCGGCAATTTATTATTTTTACTTTTTAGTAATCTAAATATTTGGATCATATTTCCAAAAAAAAAGAAGAAATTAAATGCGCATTCATTAAAGATTTCAAAATTCCAAATTTTGTACACTTGCACACATATCGAGTAATTTATTAATTGTAACTATATTCAGAAGCATTCATGCATCAAAACCATATTAAATTCATTAAAAAAAAAACCCTATAATATACAGATATAAAACAAATTTCTGTACAAGTGCCATTAATATGAAATTAATGAAAAATATCCTTCAATATTTTGTATATATTTAATGGAGACTCATTTTCACCCTATTTAAAATTACTTAAAAATTGATTATAGTTTTCAAGAAATAATTTTTTTTTTGTTTTAGGAAAAACGGAGACGAATTGAAATTTTATATTTTGGCACTTGACAGTGTATTTAAAATCTCGACTATATGTAAAATACTCAATATAACAGATACGCCATTAAAATAATGAAATAAATGAGTGTCATAATATAAGCAAGTATAATTTTTGGGAAAATAAATTTGTGTCATAAAAATATAATTGAAAATTGTCCTTAAAATTTTAAAGAAACATTAACAATATTTATTGGAAGAATTCCACTTGTGTACCCCAACATGGTTAATAAAAATTTTCATATTTTATGTATGAAAATCATTAATCAATTGAGTGATTTTCCACTTCTTTTTTTTTTTTTTGAAAAAAAGGAGTTGATTTTTCTTCTATTAATTATTACTTCTTGAAATCTATTAATAGAAGTCCACCGCCCTTAACAGGGAATAACAAAAACAAAATTTTTATTTCAAAAAAACATAACCTCACTACATTATAAATAGCAATAAAAAAATATATTAAATATAGCACATGTTATCATTCCGAAATTAAACACTTACTTAAATTGAATAAATTTCAAAAAAAAAAATCATAAAAATCTCCAGCAGAGATTTTTCAATTCAAATTTTATCATGAACATACATACACACATATATACATTTTATATATATACAGAAATGTAATCGAAACCCAAAATATGGAATATTAAAATTATGAAAAACCTATTAAAATTTCCAAGAATTTTTCATAATTTTTTTAATGAGTTCAAAGAATGTTGTTCCTTTTTCCTTTTTCATTTTTGTGTATACTCAACATATTATACATATTTATGTATATATATACAATTTGAATTGATATGAAAGGCATACTATGTAAAATATTTGTTGATAATATGATGAACGATGGTGTTTTACTGTGAACTATCAAGGATTAAAAATTTTAAAAGAGGAAATTTTAGTTTTTTAAAAGAGGAACGCCAGCGTTGAATTTCATTGCATTAAATTATAATTTTTTTTGGGCTTATTTACATAATATACTCGTATATGTCATTGTTGAATATTGAATGGGGTATAAGGTCTAAGAAAGAAGAATATTTAAGAAAGGCACCATAATATTGCTTCGATCGTAAAACAATACACAAACATTTTAAAAGAGAAATAAAAAAAAAAAAATTTTTAAAGGATCTTTTATATATAGTTTGCATGTAAACAATTTACCACTTTGATGATATTAAATTACAACAAGCCGAGATTTAAGAAAAATGGGTAAACAGGTCCAAAGTTGTTTTTAAATTATTATTATTATTTTTGTTCCAAAAGATTGTTCGGTTTAGATTCCAATTGATTTTTTGTTATTATTGAATATTAGGTAACTTGTTGAAATTTTTAAGTTTATTGCTTCCATTAGAATCGAAATTATTTCCACGTATAGGTGATTTTGAAGTTTTAGAGTATACGTATGTGTGATGATAGCAAGAAGTCGAATATGTAATTTGATTCATAGCATTGTCGTTAATTTTTTTAAGAATTGCATTCATATTAGAGCCAATCTAAAACTGGACGTAAAACTTTATTAATGCAATTTTATTTAATTTTGAATTGAAAGTTGAACAGTTCTTTGGAATTCGAATGTTAACTTTATAGCAGGTATAAGAATTACGTGCTTAAAAACGGGATTTAGAAATATGTCAGAGAAAATTACGTATCATTAAAACGGCTTCGTTATAGCTTCTATAAAATTTAACGCAAAGATTTTATTTTTTATTGCCGTATTTTAAGTATTTCAATAAAATTATCCAACCAAAATTAAATAGTGTTAAATATAGCCTTAATATCATCATTATTAATGTTCTGACAGAGCTCCGCACCTTTTGTTTAGGGAATTCTCCAAAAAACGGTATCTATATGTGGCGTTCGATCACATATTTCCATTGAATTTACACAACTACTGAAACTATTACTTAAACCTTTTAAAGTAAAATTATATTTTAAGATTGAACAAATCATTCGTAAATTGTTCATAATTTAATTTAGGAAAAACAAAAAAAAAAAAATAAAAGAAAATAAAAATTTGATACGATCATAAGGCATTTGGTTTCATAGCATGAGTGGCACTTCAAAGGATTTCAAATTTTTGTTTTTTTTTTAATCTTAATAAATTTATTCATAAAAATTATATTTAACACTTGTTTAAAAAAAGTTAAATTGAATTTTATAGTTCTTCTCATTTTCTTCTTCAAATAAATATTCAATTACCATATAAATAAGAAAAATTATAAGAGGTCATCTTTATCATACGGAAGGTTTTTGATTTCTACAATATTCTTATACATATTATATACCTACTTAGGTTCTATATGAGGAGGTGTATGTGTATTACAAGTACTTATATAAATAGAATATATTACAAGTGTATTTAAATTTATTGAGCATTTTATACATTCTTTCAAGAGTACGTTGCAGACACATTGTGATCACTAATTCTTAAAGATTTAAAAAAAAATAATTTTATAAACAAGAAATTTTTGAAGTGTTAATATTAATTTTACAAGTATATGTGGCGGCTGACTATACATGTAGATATATACATGTACATATATAAATTGTTTATAAACATTATAAAAATAATGGTAATTGATATGTAAATGTTTATAACTCTAAGATAAACAGAAAAAGAAAATATGAGAGTTAATATTGATAATGTTGGTAATTACATAAAAATTTCAATTGTAATTATTGTAAACTATATTATATAGAAATTATATATGTATAGGGTTCTTAACATTCCTTTAGTTAAGTTGACTTATAAACTATGTGCCTATCAAATGAGCTCTATTGAATTTTATGTAACAAGTAGATACCTGTAATCAAAGTAGGCAATTTAATTTACCCTGAATAATTTTTGAAACTATAATTATTGCTTTAATTATAGAAAATATTTTACTTACCCGGTAAGCCTCCCCCATAGAGGAGGCGTTGACAACTTTTCTGAACTATATTAGATTTACAAGAAATATGAAAGATAGTCAGAAAAGGAAACCAATAAATCGAATAACAGAGGGCGGAATTTTGCGGGAATTGTTTTAAGTTGCAATTAACTTATTGATGCATGGTATAAAAAATCAAATTTCAGATTTGAATAAAATAGTCTGGTTATGTCACTCTTAACAAAATATTTTTCATATTGAAAGCTACACCAAGTACCGAGAAAGCTGACCCTTCGTAACAAAGCGATGCAATTCTAATACATCTGATATAGGATAAAGAAATTTTTTTCGAGATGCTCTCTGCTTCTTCCAAATCATATAGAGCTGATTGTTTCGTTAAAAATTCTGCATAAACAATATGAAAGGCATAATATTCTAAGTTAACGCAATTTTTACAATATTAAAGTTAGCAGCACTTTATTTACGATTCGATTCCAATATTATTACATGACATGTGCACATGATTATATATGAACGTACGTTGTACATGCCCTTGCATATAAACATCACATAACTATATTCACGAAGCTTATACATTTTTAGTATAATATGGAGCAATATATTAAAAATGTCCAAACAGTAGCCACAAGCATAAAACGATAAATATGGAGAACACAATGAAA